CCAGGGATCGAACTCAAGACCTTTCACTTGCCAGGCAGGAGGTGGAACTACTGAGCTAAATCCCCAGGCCCTGGGCCTCATTTTAAAAAATTTTTTTTCTAGTTTGTTTTAATTGAGATAAACATAAAGTCCATAAATTTCAGTTTTCCAAGTGGTTGCCTCTTATATGTTTTCTGTTCTTTGTGGGTTCTTTTTCTCATTCCTTTGTTTTAACTTTTTCTTGATTTGTTTTAAAATTTTTTTTAAATTTTGAAATGATATTTACAAGGAAGTTGCAAACGTAATACAGAGGGTTCTGTCTACCATTTGTCCTGCTTTCTCAAATGTTAGCACATTATGTTATAATATACACTTGTCAAAATTAAAAAATGGAAATTGTAGTTCAGGATCCTGCATTGAATTTAGTCACCATGTTTCCTTAAATTCATCCTGTGTGTGACAGATTTCTCAGGTTTTTATTGTTATCCAGGACCTTGACAAGTCAATGAGTATTTTGTGGAATACTCATAAATTTGTCTGCTGTTTCATCATGATTATATTTGTGTTATGGGTATTTAGGAGTACTGTAGAGGTGAAGTGCCTTCTCATAGTATTGTATCTGAGGCACACGTTGTCAACATGACTTAACACTGAAAATGTTAAAAGATGGCCAGCCGAAAGTAAGAGATACATTTAGTAAACTATACAGGAAGGGGCATGGCACTTCCATGTCTTTTCTGGGAGTACCACCCTCCAGGCACCATGTGTTGAGCAATCTGGAATCGTTTTTTTAAACTTTGATTTTTAGAAACTGGGTTGTTAGCTGGGTGTGGTGGCACATGCATGTAATTCCAGCACTCAGGAAATTGAGACAGGAGGATCATGAATCAAGGCCAGTCTGGGCTACTGAGCAGTTTCGAGGTTGGTCTGGACTCTAGCAAGACCCTGTCTCAAAAAACTAAAGCAAAACAAAACAAAATCTTGGTTGTTTATAGATGTTAGTACAATCTGAATTTTTCTGAGTAACTTACTTTTTCTGTCTTCTGTGTTTCCCATAAGTTGGTAATAATGTTCACTGCTACATCAGATTCATTTATTATCATTGTCTGTATCTGTTCGCTCATCAGGGATGGCAAAATAATGATCTTTTAATCTATGTAGTAGAATACTTTGTAAAGAGCATGTCTTGGTGGCACATGCCTATAATTCTGACTACTGCTGCTGAGGCAGGAAGATCACAAGCTCAAGGCCAACCTGGGCAACTTCATGAGACCTTGTCTCAAAATAAAAATACAAAGGACTGGGTATGTAGCTCAGCTGTAGAGCACTTGTCTACCAAGTGGGAGGTCCTGGGTCCAATCCCCAGTAAGGGGGCGGGGGGGGTAATTTTATAAAAAGATACTTATCATTATTTGTGTTATTACCCTGAACAAAGACAGGATAAATGCTAATTATTTTGCTTTACTCACTAATTTTGAACGTTGTTCCTAGCATCCTCCAGATATTTAAAATATTGGATGTATTTCATTCCTTTGCAATTATTATCCTATTGATGCTCTAAAAATTCTATTTTTGGTTAGCAAGAGCTTGTGCATGTTGCCTTATGAATCCTTTTGACATGGCTTGCATAGACTTTGAGAGCTTCTTTGCTTTACAGTGTGACAAAGCCTTCAGTCTGGTCTTGTTCATTTCCTGACCCAGACCTGGCATCGGCCTATTATTTAAGAAGCTCTGGTTCCTTTCAGTGGGAAATAGTATTTAAAGACTAGTTAGGAGGGTGGGGGATTTAGCTCAGTGGTGCGGCCGCCTCCTTCACAAGTGAAAGGTCCTGAGTTCGATCCCTGGTACCAAAAATTAATAAATAAAATAAAGACTAGGTACAGTATCATGCACCTGTAGTCACAGCTACTTAGGAGGTTGAGGCCGGAGGATCTTGAGTTCAAGATTAGCCTGAGTAATTTACCAAGACCCTGTCTCAAAAAAAAAAAAAATTATGAACTGTGCACTAGAAAATTCATGCTACTTGGTTGATCCTCAACCTTTTCAGTTAATCATGTAAATAACATTTTTTATTAAGTTTATGTATTTCTGCATATGTTGCATAGCTAATATGGGGGATAGTATTTGTTGGAGACCTATGTAGCTGATGGTGAAAATTGGAATGGGAGAAGTGGACATCTAATAAGAATATGATTAGCCAGGGATTTGGTTCAGAGGTTCCGGTGTCTGCCTCACAAGCGCAAGGTCCCAAGTTCAATCCCTGGTACCAAAAAAAAGAATATCATTAGGTACTTCTTAACATCAAGAGAATGACTATCATTTAACTGTATTCTACAGCTAGGATTTCTGGGTTCCACTTCTGTCTCTGTTCTTAGAAAAATCTTTTTTCTCCTTAGACTTCAGACTTTCCTGTTCTTGACCCCAGCTGGACTGCTCAAGAAGAGATGGCCCTTTTAGAAGCTGTGATGGACTGTGGCTTTGGAAATTGGTAGGAGCTTGGTGTTAAGAGTGGTCTTGCCCTGAGCCTGGGGCTGTAACTCAGTGGTAGAGTGCTTGCTGGCATACCTGAGGTCTTGGCTTCAATCGTCTGTGTCACCAGAGACTCAGAGAAGCAGCCAGTGTTGAAGAGTAAAGGGAAGAACTTCAGAAAGAGGAAAGTTGTGCTGCTGTCCTATTGACCCAGGGTCCCAGAGACAAGTTCTCTTCCCATTTGTGCATTATTTTCCAGGCCTGAAACATTTCACAAGAATGTGGGATGTTTAGTAGTCCATGACTGAGCCACTCATATGGCATTCCTCTTACTTTAGCCTCAGCCTCCCTAGTGCTGGGGTTATGGGTGTGTACCACCACTCCTGGGCCATATTTTAGAATGGTAGGAATTGGAACATCAGGTTACACCAATACATATTTGTGTCATTGTTTTGCTGATATCTCCATGGAATCAGTTTGGAGGTAGCAGATTATTGATTTAATATGGATTTGAAGCCGGGGATTTAGCTCAGTGGTTCTGGCGCCTGCCTCAAAAGCACAAGGTCCCGAGTTCAATCCATGGTACCAAACAAAACAAAACAAAACTATATGGATTTGATTTAAAATAAGAAAAGAACAAACCATGCTTTTAATATTATGTATAAGTGAAAGTAATACTCCCTTCTTTCTTTTTCCCCCACACTTTTCTAGGCAGGATGTAGCCAATCAGATGTGCACCAAGACCAAGGAGGAATGTGAAAAGCACTACATGAAGCATTTCATCAATAACCCTCTGTTTGCTTCTACCCTGCTAAACCTGAAACAAGCAGAGGAGGCAAAGACTGCTGACACAGCCATTCCATTTCACTGTAAGTGCCTGCGTGTTTTAGTCAGAGATACTTAGGTCATCGTTGAGCCCTGTGTCAATGACAGATAAACAGTGATTTGATGACTTGGGTGATAAAGAGCTTATGGAAGATAGAAGGAATTGGCATGTCAGCTATTGAGAGTCAGGATCATAATGTGGCAAAGAGGGAACACGTCGCAGGGGTCAGAGGTGTATACTGAACTGACATCTGAGTACTCTAAGCCGATGTGTAATTCTACCTACTGTGAGTCCCTGGACTATGTCATTTAACTTTAATGCTTGCTTCTTTTAAGAGAATGTGTCGAAAAGGGACCACCTTGTCCAAGCTATTAGGAGTAAAGTCTTTTTGCAATTCCTTTGGAAGATTTGTGATTGTAGGTATGAGTTGCTTAACAGGGCCCAGTCTTTGACTCATTATTATTAATTGCCCTAACATCAAGCCTAAAGAGCAATTTATAATTTTTGTTCATTTAGTTACGGCAATAAAGGCAGACTTTTTAATATCATGTGCCTTTGGGATCAGTTGGTCTTTTAATAAAACTTAACTGAAAACATGATGAATTATAAATGGGATGTCTTTCCTGAATGACTCTAGAGCACAATAATGGAGATATGAATATTTTCTCTTTCCTCTCTCCTTTCCTCATACATCTTAGAAACAGTTTTATAGCTAACTCAGAGGCTGGTGATAACTTTCATTTCAGTAGCACTTAGGATGTTAGCACTTTCAACAGCAACTCAATGAAATAAACAGAATGGCTGCTTTCATTTTATACATGAGGGAACTGAGATTCAGAAAGGTTAAATAATTTGTGAAAGGTCATGGGACTACTGTATGCTGGTGCTGGGATTATATTCCAGCTAACTTCCAAAAACTGTGTTTTTATTTCTTAGTCGGATGATAATGTGTAAATTGAGGTTGGTTCTAAGAGGTAATGGAGCTAAAGTTGACGCTGTAATAAGTTCTATAAATTAAAAAAAATCTTGATTTCCTTTCATTATGGTAAAGCAAAAATCAGAAGGAATTTCCTGTATTACCTAAGTCTTAGTTTCCTTTTTGAAGAAATGAGTCTGTTTCCATACTACTTTACTCTTTTTCTCTTTTCCCTTTATAAAAACCTTTTAAATTTATCCATTCTCTCAGACACTTTTTTTCCAAAAATATTTCAGAATGTACAAAGGGACTATTTTTGTGTGACTTTTTTGTGTCAGTATTTTATTAATTAACTAAGAAAAACTCTTAATTTTTCCAGCTACAGATGACCCTCCCCGACCTACCTTTGACTCCTTGCTTTCTCGAGACATGGCAGGATACATGCCAGCTCGAGCAGATTTCATTGAGGTAGGTAGGAAAAACTTGTGATAACCATAAGAGAAGAAAAACTTTTTTATTTCTTATGAGGCTTCTACCTCTTACCCATAGGTTCCATACCACCAAAAGGAGATTTTTCAAAGCATAATGATTTGTAAGGCCTTTATACAGACATATTTTTTAAAATTTGAATTCCTATTTTGATTTGTAAACATTTTTTACTTATGGAACAGTGTAAGTTCTTCAGACCAAGAATTTATTTTCTAAATTGCATGGGTGTTCATTCCCACCTTATAGGTGTAGAGTTTCTGCAGTCTATTTCTCATTCTACACCTAGGGGATTTCAAGGTTGTACTATATCAAGACATGACAGACGTGTCCCATTAAGGGCCAGATAGTAATTAAGTGTACAGGTTATAAATTCCCCATTGCTTTGCTATTCTTGTACAGAAGCACCATAGATAGTACATGAGTAAATTAGTATGTCTGTATTTCAACAAAACTTTCTGTACAAAAACAGGCAGTGGGGTAGACAATACCAGTTTGCTGACTCCTGCACTTATTACAAGTGTACAAATCAATATGGAATATATGCATATAAGTACTATGTGTTCCTCATCCAGCCATGGAATTGAAAACCATGTAAATATAGTCAGAAGTATCTTGATTTATCACCTAATCCACAAGTGCAGTGCTCCTGAGATAACTTGAAAGTTTAACCAATTATAAACATTTTTTCTAGCCATACCCAGGTTAGCATTTTGTTTATGGCTGGCTATATTGTACAAGTATCCCACAGATACTGCCTCCACAAATTATAGTCATTGAATAGACTATAAACAGACCTGTTCATTGAAATGAATAAAAAATATTATTGACTAAATAGATCCCTTAAAAGATAATAAAAGGTAAA